TCAAAGCCATGCGATTATGGTGGGTTTGCTTCAACGAGTTCTGGTTTACACCGACGTACCGGTTGTGTACGAACACTTGTGTGTGTTTCCAGAGTGGCCTGTGAGTGTAGCAGGACTTGATCATCACGCGCTTCTGAAGGTAGCAATTTGACATTGTAAGAAAGAAGCTCAAAATTCAAGAGACGTACATTTGTCTCAAAGTTTTGTGGTGCAACTCAAGGCCATGTTGGACGAGGAGTGGATGATAAGGAGGAATGAGCCAGGAGTGGCGCGTTTGCTGTATGCTTGTTGACTGAGTTGTCCAGAACGTTCACCCAGCGTTCACCTGCCATTCACTACCACCATAGGCTTCTTCGCCGCGAATGTGGAATTGCAGCAAAATGATGTTGCGCGTGCTCGCCGATCAAGGCATTGAGAGTATCTTGGATCCGGCGCACTTGTGTTTGCCTACCACTGAGAGGCAATTTCCGCTTTATTCATTCCAACCCAGTATGCTTTTCATTCTTTAAGAAATTCTCTCAACGAGTGCGATTAATGTCAAATTTCAACAGCTTAGGTTCAACCCCAATGAATGGGCGGTAGTCGACGAGCGTGCTCAGAGCTCAAAAACTGCCAGTACTCTCTTCCCGGTGTAGACAACCTTATTTTCCGGAAGTTTGGGGGTACGAGACACCCACCAGCAGGGATGACGGCTGCTGAATTCCTGGACGTTCCACGAGAAGAAGTACTGGCACTCAATTGCTCAGGTTAGAGCGTATATGGAGTACGTGGTTCAGGCGAAGCAGGACGAGGAGGGCATGACTTGGCATCTTTATCCTGATGAAGAATTTCACCCTGGCTTGGACGGGAACAGGCAAAGTAGCGAACACAGGGTGCGTGTATTGATTAATACATCCCCATTTTTTAATACTTTTTAGCAGAATTCGCCGGAATGATTCAATGAAGTCGCCCTGTCAAAACGCACAATACATTTTGTACCTCTGCGAGAATGGGTTAGAAGCATGTCGACCAAAGCGCCGAACAGCTGCATCGCAGCAAAACGATTGGTTGTGGGCCCCCAAGCTTGAGCCCAGCAGGTTTACCGTCAATGTTCGTGGAGAAGTCTTTTCTTCAATTGAACTTCAAGGTGGCCGAACTTTCACCTCAGTCTAAGCTGTTGGCTCTGCCAGAGGTGTTATACATACAGGAGTTTCGACTTCCATGAGTTTCTGATGGAGGACGGTAACAGGCACTTCAAGTTCACCTTTGGCCTTGGGGAACAAAAGCTTGACGAGGAACCCTCGACGATGAGACCTCAAATCTAGCGTCATTGACTTTGGATTAGTCTCAGCATCAGGTTCAGAAATGCGATTTCTTGTTGATTCCCCTTATCCGCGATTAAGGGCTGCATATCTTACGGTGGAGGGCAATATGTGGGGGACTTGTGTGACAACACGAACGGTCACGTCGCGTTTCAAGCCAATTGTCGTCGGGTCGATAACGGGTGGCTCGTATCGCAACGAGTCCTGGTCACCCCGGAGGGCGCCTCACAAGCATTCTCCAGCGTGTCAGACTTTGTCGACCATCAACAATTTTTGTGCCAATATATTCGTGTCAATGTGTTTTGCCCCCACTTCTTCCCAAGGAATATTTTTTGGCTCGAAAGCGACCGCGATCATTGATTGGGCAACTGCTGGATTCCATTCGGGATTTTGGGAATATGCTCGCATGCATGACCCTATATACTCCTGCTTGCTCACCTGTATCGGCGGCCCGCAAACAAGGGGATATCAGACGCCTGTTTGAGCTCATTAACATCAGCCTGTAATCAACCAACTTCACGGTCAGCTCTTTTTGCTCCCCAAGCGCATGATTTCTCTCACGTTTTGACTTCAGTCCTTTCAAGGTGTTACTCAAGTTGTTAGAAAGGCACAATGTATTCCTCAGACTCACAATACCCCTCAGTGGTGCGGAAGTGGGACTATTCCCTGTCAGAAACAGATAGTCCACTGATTACGGGAGTCACCAATTGGTCGTGACCAGTGTCACCCCATCGTTCAAGCGCTCTATACTGCCTCACGACTAGAAAGTATTGCTATAACCACAAGCAAATCATCGTCGAACTCGAGACTGAGAAGGAAATTGCTCAGAAAGCCTTGAAAACTATGATGAAGCAGCGAAACGAAGCAGACGCCCTGTTGGCGGCCTTGAGCAGCACTGTCGACAGAGGTGAAGCTCTCCTTGATGACATTGGCGAACAAATGTTTAACGTAGAATGCGATCTGCAATCGCTGCAAGGTGGATCGGAGGGGCAGATCTCAAACACGAGGTTCAGGAATCGCAGCGAAACTTGCGACGAAATCAAACCTGAAATCGAGGAAGGCCAACTAGAGCTGCGACGGCTCTTGGAGCAATGTGAAGACATCTCAGAGCAGTTGGATCTCCATCGTGACCAACTCTCGCTCATACACAAGGTTCCCCCAGAGATCATTCGTATCATATTCCTCTTCTGGGCCTCCGACAGGCATTTTCTCCAATCCCCAACTCATGTCTCTCCAAGTGTTCTGACTGGCGTTTGTGTTGCCTGGAAGAATATTGCACTCGGTATGCGTCCTTCTTACTGGTCGAGATACGGAAAGGGAAGTTCTACCCTGACAAACATACCGTTGAAAGGTGGATTGAGCGCTCTGGCTCCTCCGCGCTTTCTTTCTCTATTGAAGAGAGAGATTCATCTTTTCACAGCAGCCATGCAGGAGTTGATCAGATTCCGCCCACCATGCCACACGACAATACAAACTCTGAGCACCCCGCTGGATCACCAGTTGCGTCCATGCTCGATCTCTTCATTCCCCATCACTCTCGATGGCAGAGAGTCCGTCTGAGATACAGCGATGCATCGCCTGGTAAAGTTGTTACTGCCTTGCCATTGCCCATGAATGCCACGTATCCTTTACTTGAAGAGGTATACTTGGACAAAGGTTACTGGTGGGCACAAGAAGATCTAGACTGCATCAAATCCATGATGGTCTCCGCACCACGGCTCCATTCCGTTACCTGGCTAAGCGAGAAATCATACAAAATGCTTGCCTTTCCATGGAAGCAGCTCACACACTTCTCGCAGGGCCCCATTGCCACTATGAACGAGGGTCTTCGTGTCCTCGCGATCTGTCCTCATCTCAAATCCCTGGAGCTGACGCTCTTTCTTCCCATGTTTCCCGTCGACGACGACGACGGTCCATTTGTCCACAACACTTTAGAACGCCTACATCTACGTACTGCAGGTAACCTGGCAGTGCTTATCGACAAAGTCACTCTGCCGGCTTTGAAGGATCTGTCACTCTCCGAATTACATGGAACCTCACCCAACCCCCCTGTACAGCTTGGCCGGTGGCCACAATCCCAGTTCCTTCCATTCCTCCTACGTTCAGGTTGCACCATCAAGCAATTCATCATTCAGGAGTGGGATATCTCAGCAGAAGAGATAGCGGAGTGCCTCGGACATCCGCAGATATCGAAGTCATTGGATCCGTTGTCTATCACGGAATATCACCAAAAGCATCTGTGCATGACGGATGAGGTTCTTAGGCGGTTGACGTATACCCCATCAGTTATCTCGTCAGAAAACGTTCTGTGTCATGGAGATGACCAGCTGGCCGAGGACACCCCATTGGAGACTATCTGTCCGAATCTCACGACCATCAAGCTGTGGGGATGCATTTCTGCCCAGGATGGAATATGGTTGAGTCTAGGTGGTTGGCCAGGACCGAAGGCCGCCCCATCATGCAACTGAGGACGGCGGCAATTGGGTTTTTCGCTGACGCGTGTCATACGGAGGATTGGGCTCGGTTGGAGGCGTTGAACGTAGAGAGGTCTCGGGATCACACATATTCGACTGTGATGGTGGGGTTCCAATTCGTTTTCTGTACATGTCAAAATGGTGTGAAATACATTACATTTATCACCAGAAATATCTACGTCACTAAGTTAGCTAAAACCAACACAATCCCAGCCCATCAACGACGTCTTGAGCAACTCTTCTACCAAGCCAACGTCTAGCAGAACAACACAACAATGAAGAGCCCTAAGCGCCGATAGCCTTTGCCCACCAGGGAAAATGTATAGACGTTCCGTTTCTCTATAATCACGGTGTCCAGAATCGTCCCAACAAAACGAAACTATTTTGTGAAAGATCAATGGTGTGTCATTAGATGCTCTTTTTCCAGCACTACCATAGCGATGTTGTTATTTATCCCGAGAGCAACATCAACATAAATAGAAGGCGTTTGTGATGAGTGGTTCTGCTGCCCGTGTCCTCGTTCCAGTGGGCGATGCAGACCGCGGTGGAATTGGATGGGTGGAACGGGAAGGGAGAGGGCCTAAATGAGGGTTTGAGCGTGGCTATTCATTACACCAACCGGTCTTGCCCTGATAGAATAAGCGAAGGGACAGGTTAAATGGAAACTTGGACTTGCTGTGGTCCATTGTCTGGATTACATTACGTTGTAAGATTTCGGGTGAGGGAACTTAATTGACCGTAGAACCGAACGACTGTGAGGGAGAGAGGGACAGCTGGCTGGGATACAACAACGGCTGATATCTCGGCGGAAGAGGGGGGATGATGCTTGCAGCCTCCATTCTCATTCCATCACCCTTGACTGACCAAATCACCATCGTTACCGTCGTCCTAGAAGTGCCTGTCTTAACTCTTGTAAGATGTCCTTGGGGTAAGAGGCTCGATTTGTAGGTGTTCTCGGTGGCAGGCTTGGAATAGGTGACCCGATAGCCAAGCTCAAACTGTGGACGAGTACACTCCTTCAATGGATCCCCACGAGAAGCGAGGGTGCTAGCAGTCGACAAATGGGTGTTCGCGGTGGCTTTGAAATATTGCCCTGGTATGATGATTAGGAGACGATCCTCGAGGAGCAGCTGGTCAATTTGTATGTAGAGGTTGACATTGGTTGAGACTCGGTTCTTGCTTGGGTGGCCGAACTGACGAACGATGCCAAAACCAGACAGATGTGGGGGAGAGGGGAAACCAGCTGGCATGCGGTCATATCCTAGGGAACCTTTAATGGATGATGCATGCAGCCTCTCGTCATTTCCGTCACCACCCTTAATTGATCAAACCCGTCACACTCGTACGGGGGAATGCTTTTGTCCGCTGCCATTTGTCCACAGTTGTTTCCAGAATCCCTGCCCGGTGATTACGCTTGAGGAGCTGGTCGATCTGCTGAGGCTCTTGATGGTTGGTATTGGGTTTTGGCTAGGTTGGCCTAACTGATGAACGATAGACAGTCGCGGAGGAGAGGCAGCGGGGCATGCAATCGTGGTTAAGGTACCTGGAGCGGATTCGTCGTGTGAACAAGCGACTATGCCTCGCAAAAAAATGGTCCAATGGGTTCAAGCGTTGGATGAAGCCCACCCTGATTGGCATTGACCACAAACACCTGAACTTGGACAACTTGTGGCGAATACAAGAGTTCCTCCTGTTCATGGGATGTGGTCAAGTGAGGATCATGGTGCTCGCTGCTGCAGCACCGTCTTTGAAGGACATCCTTGGGGTAGAAGCGGATGCGCTATGCTTAAGAGTCCAATTTGCGAGGGTGGTATGTGGCTTTGAGTAGCTTGAGGCCGGGTGACAAGGACAGTCGCGGACGAATACTAGTACGCTCCTGTTCAACGTCGACCTTCAGGTCCAGAGTGTGTCGCGCGCTCGCCATATGACCCTATAATTAGATCCTGCCTATCCAGAGATTACTAAAATTATTCAGCTCAGCGCGCATTACAAGCCTATAAGTTAACCAATCCAATAGAATATGTAAGTGGGGGTAGTTCATCATAGCACAGTGGGGAACCAACATAAAACTTCCTCAACTCAGTCATAGTACTCCACCACCCCACCAGCACCCAAACTCCCCCTCCGAACCTTCTCCCCTTTAGCACGGAGTATATCCTCAATCGTAGGATTCTTCCCTTCCTGAGTGCCGAATTTGAACCAGCCCAGGTGGTCCGCTATCAGATGCCTACAACGTTCCCCGTTGTGAGTCAGGACCCCAATCTCAAGAAAAAAGAAGAAACCCACCGATTCTTACACCCCGGACATTCAACCAACACAATACCGCGCTCATAGCTGCGTTTTGTGAATTGGTGGGTTGAGCGTTCGCCGCATCCCTCAACTGTACATGTGAATGTCATGGAGAGTCGGGGTTCGAGTTTTTCGGGGAGGGGTTGGGAAGAGGTGGTTGTTAATGGAGAAGAGGAGGAGGAGGGTGAGGAAGAAGAGGAAGAGGAAGAGGCATCCTCTGATATTGGCTCTGTATGTGGCAGAGATGTGGTGTACGGCCTGCGAGCGAGAGGTATGGGAAGTCTTCTGGCTGTTGAAAAAGCTGCGGGTCGCAGCTGAAAAGAGATGGATGGGTGGTGTGGAACTACGAGGCTGCGTAGTGGTGGTAGGATGCCCAAGTTTTTGAAGAGCCTTGACGGGAGCATGTTGTTGAGAAGCAAGAGACGCAAAAACATGTATAATTGTTGCGCACTTTGATCACTTTCCCCAGGGCTTATCAAACTGGCAAATGTCCTGGCGTTCGTAAATAGCACGTAAAAGTACACGTAGTAAAGACATGATAAGATAATCAGATCGTCGCAAGTCAATGGTCTATGTCGTGTGCTACAAGGAAAGGATAATAGGTCAAACGAAAAGTGAGGAAGTTGTGCTTGAGGGGGGCACGTTGTCCGTATAAGAAAAGATGTCGTCCATAGCTACGTAGAAGCTAAGTCGTCCACAGCTCAATGGTGAGGGATATGCGCTCCAACGGAGCTCAACCAGCCTGATAAACAGCAGGCCCAGCAACAATATGCGGATTGATGAACGAAATGTTGAACGGCGTCACGAAAATATCTTCATCCGTTATCGCAATGAACCTTTGATACGTTTATCAGTCAATCGATTCGATCCACAAAAAAGGGGGTACGTGCATGGTAGCATTAACAATAGGCGACGACCCATTCCCAAAAACGGTGCCATTCGGCTGGAATGTCGTTCCCGTCTGATTGACGATGTTTTCAAGGACGGTGTAGGTGGTATTGAGTTGCGATATCTAGGCTACGAACTATATCACATTCCATTCGTCAGTCCCACGGGCATAATTCAAAGATGGATGGATGGGAGAAGACATAAAACCAAAATCAGAACCAAACCTCACCTGAGGTGGACCAGCAGTCGTATTCGTAACAAAGCTACTATTGGGGCCTATCGCCTGACCGGGTAAGTCCCAAGTAAGATTGACCTGTCGTCCGGGGAAGGAGAGGGGAATGGAGCGGTTATGCGTGATGGCAGGGTTGGTGTTGTTGTCTGGGATGGAGGTGTTGACGAAGAGTGTTGGGTCGGGGTTGTTCTGTGTTGAAGATGGGTGAGTTGGGAGGAGGAGGAGGAGCGGGGGAGGGGGAAGGGAAGAAAGATGAAGGACAAAAGAAAAAAAGAAAACGCACAACAACATTCAACGCCGGAAAATTCTGAAACTCAATCACCGGATTCCCAGCTGGACAACTTATAATCAACGGCGCCAACAGCGTCCACATCATGCTCTGCGTAATCGCCGTTTGAAAATCGACAGGAACGGGGAAGAGGCCTTCGTATTGGCGAAATATCATTTGTTCGCGGGAGGAGGCTGTTAGTGTTTGGGCGAGGAGTTGGGCGGCTGCGCGTGAGTCGAGGTGTTCGATGAAGCCTAGGATGCCGGATTCGCCTATTGCTGCTATCTAGAGGGGGAGGGGTCGGCGGGGAAGAGGCGGAAAGAAGGGAAAAGGGAGGGAGGGACGAACCTGTTGGCTGAAGTTGATGAATTCGCGGACGTCTTCGAATGGGAACTGATAAGTGCACTGATTGGCTGCTTGTTCTGCGTCGTAACGTTAGGCCTCATTGCTACTGAGAGTTATGGGACGAGGTCACCCTACCTCCAATCATGTTGGAGAGCAGAGTAGCATGCGACACTTTTTGGTCGGCTAGAAACTGGATGAGGAATCTATGCGCTTCGAAGATCTGTACGTCCTCGAATTCTTGAACTGTGAACGTTGCGAGGCCAAAGTGGAAGAGGTCGAGTTCGAGGAGCTGTTGGTTCAATGCGAGGTTCTGTGTCATTGAACCTCAGTAGGGATGGACGAGAGATGAGATGAACAAGTCAGACATACGAGGGACTGGAAATCAAAGTCGCTTAGGAGATGATAGAACGGAGGTGTAGAGTTGGTTCTGAGACCACCGGAAGGTTGGAAGTTGAGTGCTGTGGTGGTGGTGGTCGGAATCGTCGTCGTGGGCCAGGCAACAGCCAACCCAGCCAGGGCAACAGCGAGGGAGATCCACATTGTTCAACGTGGGCTTTGAGCTTGCTGCTCATTTTGCATATTCAATTTTAAAGGGGACAGTGGAGCGATAGTCAATACAGAGTCGGGGATTGAATTGACTGGTGAGACAACGTATGCCGGCGGGGAGACTAGCATTATACCTGCACATACAGAATCGTTATGATAGAATTAGCTTGGAGGACGTCAGATGAGGATGTAAGACGCCGGGTTCCTTGGATTGTTGGAATTTGGGATGGTGATGGTGATTGGTGTCCAAAAACACCACTGTTCTTCGGTGCCTTCGAAGTTGTGACCGCATGTTGCACATGAGGTGGTTGCTGAAAGAGTTCATTGCGGCCCCCTCGTAGCTGCTCTGCATGAGCCTAGATTAAGAGCAGCGGCTCTCCCAGCCCCTTCCGGCTGCTTCCATGCGCCTCTGTCGCTGGCAAAACTGGAAGAACAGACATACTAGAAAACGCAAGGTAAGTATACATAGTTCGTACATCACACTTGACTCACCTAATCGCACAGACCAGCTTCTTCGGTTCCGCGCTAAGCAGCACCGCACGTCTACATAGTCCTGGGCATTGGATCTGGAGCTTGCGGTGAGAAACCCTTGGTGAAAATTGGTCAGTCAGTGAGTAGTGCTTCTCCGGCAGCCTGATTAATAAATCAGATATAAGGAGCTCCCGTCGATGAGGCCTCAGCACGTTGAACTGTCCGAACCATTGGGCGTCGGGACCGTCGTCGTAATCTTCAGTCTGTTGTTCTGGTGAGCTCACAGACAAACGAGAACGGATATAACAGACCCACCTCGACTTGAAACGTCGATGTCCTGCTCGTAAAAGTAGGATCTATGACGGTGTGATGAGATGCACGAGTTCGCCCCTTCTCATGGACACGTCATTTTGGTGAATTACTTCGAAAAGGCCTAGGCCCTTACATATGACGAGCCCGCAATCTGAGCCGATCATGGGCGTCGAGTTGTACAACCCGTCTGCGGTTAAGATTTGTCGCGACGGACTATCAGGGAGTCTGTGAGAGTTGAAGTGGAAAACCATCCCCTTCATATCTAGAATGATCAGCTTCGTACGAGGTGATAAGCTCGAGAAGAACTCACAGGCTGTGTGTACAGAGTGAAGGCACCGGTTTGTATGAGCACCAGGCTGGCAGCGCCTAACACGTAACAAGTTGCAGCCACGGCTTATGGGAAGGGAAAGCCTGCTTCCTTCGCGTATCGATGTCGGCGAGACGCACAATTTCACACTTTGATTCATGATGAAATCAAGAAGTTTCCACAGGACACCATTTTCACACTTGCCATCTGAACGGAGGGCCAACTTTTGTGAGGGAAGTATATGTCCCGCCCAGTGGTCAAGAAGTCAGATGGTGGTGAACGCCACGATGTCCTTGACGGCAAGGACAGTTAGCTTCAGAAAAGGCGCGAAGCGCAAGAAACAACTCACGGTGAAGGGCTCAAGATCGAAGTCTCCACACACTTGAAGCCACTCCCACTCTGCACCGACGTCGCTGTCTACAAAGCCGCAGGCTCAGAAAGGTCCTTGATCTCTCGAAACCCATACTCCTCCTTCCCAAAAATCTCTCGGCAGAAATACTCGTTGCTGATCGACATCTTCACGAAAGTCATGGAGGCCCATGGAGTTTGAGAGTAGGAGCTGGGGCCCCCTTATTGAAGCCAAGAAGATGCGAAAGAGCCCTTCGCCGACGAGGCCTGGGACGTAGTGGCAGTACAGGTCGTATTCAGAGATGGTGGAGGGGTAGATGGAGCCGGTGGTGGCTGCTTTGTGGGCATAGTCGGCCATGCTGGTTTCCATCTTTCAGAATCCAAAGTTGAACTCGACGAAGTGGAGTCGAAGACGAACTTGACAGCGCCAAGGTCAACATTGCAGGGTTTGAAGGCGAATTCACGATAGCAGGAGTGAATGGCACCGTCGAAGAGAAGGTCGATGTCGAAGAGTCCAAAGAGGGAACAACACCCCTGGTTAACGGACAGACATACTCCTCACAAACATCCCTCCCTCTCGATCGCATCCGCCGTCGGAGATTGGGTTTGCGAAGCATAACAAAACGGTGAATCCCAATTCCGAGAGAATATGTGCGTATTGCATGGAGTAGACGTTGTGTCCCAAGTCCAACCTTTTTGAATCTCAACTTCCTTTCACGTCATTCAGGTCCACGGAAACCCTGGCATTTCTCCTCACCGGAAACCTGAAATCAAGCAGCCCACCCAGCATCGAACACGTCGATTCTAGTAGTGGAAGAAAAACTTCGCGGGGCGATCACGCGGAAATGACGAGGCAGAGTTAATGTTGTCCGAGGCGCACAAAGAAGTTTGGATGAGGGTCTGGATGAGGGGTTGATAGAATTTGTAGTGGGAAAAGAAGCAATTGAGGTGGAAGACGCGGGATTCGAAGTGGAATGGGGGATTGAGGCGGAAGGAAAACTTGGGAGGAAAACAGGAAGGGCCGAGTGCCAGTCATAATAGGGAATCAGATCGAAACGCCCTCGTCGAGATTTCAGTGAGGTTTCAATCTCCTCTGCTTCGACACCATGCAGCTGGTCGAGGAGGTTGTCTGCACGCAGAGATGCTGGTGAGGTCGGCCATCTAAGCTCGGATGGCGGGATTAGCATCTGAAGGGGCGACGGAGTGCGAAGGAGGGTAGAAGCCATGCGATTATGGGGGGTTTATGTGGGGGGTGTCGCATAGTGCTTCAACGAGTTCTGGTTTACGCCGACGTACTTGTATACGAACACTAGTTGTGTGTTTCCGGGGTGATGGACTGTGAATAGGTCTTTGGCAGGACTTGATCATCACGCGCTTCTGAGGGTAGCAATATTACATTGTAAGAATTTGAAAGAAGCTCAACATTCGAGAGACGTACCTTTGTCTCGAAGTTTTCTGCTTGTGGATGGGACGTTAGACGAGGAGTGGATGATAAGGAGGAAGGTGTCGTAATGTTGCCATGTTTGTTGATTGAGTTGTCTATTATAACGTTCACCTGTTCGAAACTACCACCCAACTACCACCATAGGTCCGAATGTTGCCTTCTTCGCCGTGAACGTGGGATTTCAGCAAGACGGTATTGCGCATGCTCGCCGATCAAGGCGTTGAGAGGAAAAGAGCGAGCGGTATCTTGGATCCGGCGTGCTTGTGTCGTTCTCCAAGTTTCTTTGCCCATAAGAGTCGGCAATGTTTCGCCTGGTAGTCCCACTGAGAGGCAAATTCCGTTGTATTCATTCCATCCCAGTACGCTTTTCAACGATTTTCTCTCAATAGGTGGCGATTAACGTTAATTTCAAGGTTCAATGGGAGAGGTTGCGATGTTTGACAAAGCTCGGTTTTGGCCCGGTTAGAAACGCCAGCGACGCCGTGACCAACTTGACTACGCAAGTCTTGAGCTACACTCAAATTGACTACCTATTTTCGTGAGGCTTTATGAGGTGGGTCTTCTTGGGGTTTTCTTCAACCAACTCATTAGATTGATCTTTATGACGAAGATTCGCAAGTATTAGCTGGATGCCAGTAGTAGTCCAGCCAAAGAACGCAAGCTGGGATTTCGCTACCTCGTTCAAGAGGAGCCGAAGGGTTTCAAGGGAAGGCTAGAGGATTTACGAAACCTTGGGGATGGCTCTTACCGAGATTGTGAGTTGCGCCATGCTCATTCTACTGGCGAAAATACTTATCCAGAGTTTAGTGTGAAGACTTGTTGAATCACTTTGGCGAACCAAGGTTATTGCTATTCCTGTGGAAGAGTGTCACGACTGTCATGACTTTCAACCCTTTACTACAGCGGATGTCAAGCTCCATCGTGTGGCGTTGGCATATGGAATCATCCGTTTCGCGGAACGTCCGCGCTCGGGCCTACGTTTTGCAGAATCCCTCAGGGAAAGGTCGACATGAGCCTCGTCATCTGCAATCGATGCTTGTCCTTCGAGAAATGCCAATGCCAACGCGGCTCATCTTGTCGCAAAACACATTCTCCGTACTGCGCCGTGGAAGTTCTTCGTGTCACGTTTCAGAAAGACGCCTAGTGGTTGGATTTCGATGCCTCGGAGGAACGGGAACGGGGTGACCTCACAATACGTTCAACCGGTTTGCTTTGAAAGTAAGCCTGTTACTGGCTTTGTTGTGTATGTGCTCACCTATCATACTAGGTCTTGGCTCCTATCTGGATTTTCACCCAACACGACCCAAAACGCACGCTCTTTTTTCTTTGGTTGGTGGTACACCCGTATTGGGTCAAACTTTTGGTCAACATGTTAAGGAAAGCTTCTGCACATTTTGGCCAGAACGAGTAATGGCACCTGGAACATCGACTTCTAGCACTGCAACGACATTTGCGGGCATGAACCACGTCGACGCGCATCTTCATGACAACTTGGGATTATTGTCCTCCAGGTGAGCTGGGGCGACACGTCAAAATTCTATCTACTGCCTATTCGTTATGCTTACATAGCGTTTGTTTCCATTCAAGTCGCAATTCACCTTCCTCTTTCAATCCAGAAGCACGTTCGCAATCGGGGCTTCGATTTCATATCTAGGGGTGGCGCCGCACAAATTTCTAATATGCTCTTACAAAGTCACATCTCATCCCTCACAAAGTCAATGCGAGACCGGAGGAGGAGCACACATGGTTTCGCTCGACTGTAAGAGCTCGACACTACTTCTTTCAACTGTGACTCGCTCCTCTCCGTAAGTACGCTTTCTGATATTCCCATTTTCTCTCGCCTCTAACGTAAGTTGTACCTAGATTATCAACTAGCCGCAACGTAGCCTGGCCAACAGTACGTTCGCAACCGTAAGACCTTGGCGTACGCTGGCACAATTGTGGAGGAAGTTGACTACTTTGTACAACTTCCAACCATCATGCGATGCCCATTCTAAGCACTGGCCTCCGACAGCATGGCGGAAGTCATAGGACACACCCTGTACTCACTTCGGATACCCAAATTACTCCTTTGTTATTTTCCGCGGACGCTTCTCGAGGCGATCCCCACCTCAACCCCCCTTTTGAGGACGGTCGTGAACAACTGATGACACTACTAACCTTCTGTTCTGTGCTGTGAATGTAAGGCAGAGGCATTTACGGGTTCAATGTCGCGTATTCCTCGCTTTTCATTCAACGGATTCAATAGCAACCAGCTATTGCTCAAGCGCTCGCAGGTGATACCGTCACATCCTCTGACAGTGACGCCGAGCGCCTTATCAGACAAAGCATGTTCCGAGCGCTAAGCACCTCCCTTTCACCAAAACCACCATGTCTACCGCGAGGGGTAGCTCAACGGGAAGCCCTAGCATTGAGATTACAGGTAACCTCCCAGGTTTTTGCCCCCAGGTCAAATATCTGACACCCATTGACTAGAAATCCGCGTTTCATCCCAGCACATCCTCAAATCGGTCCAACTTTCGATTGGATCGTTCGAGCGGGAATCACCTTGTCTCCTGAATGCAAAGACCCACAACTTTGAGTTGTCATCCCCCTGGTGAGCCGATGATCAT